CTCTAGCTTATGAGACTTCGACAGGCCATACATACACAACGCACGATTCTACGATCATTGTAGTTATTCGTTCTTTTCATGCTTTGTGTTCGGACATATGGTAATCCGAGACAGTGATTAATATGTCGAATTGTCGGATTATCAGCTATCTAAGCTCGGACACGCCACTTCTACATTCCCTGATCCCTGTGATCTTCGCATCGTGCCGGGCCCGAGCGGTCCAGATGGATAATCACACAATAAATGCGACAGTTACAAGCATCTGAGCTTCTATAGATCGTGCGCACTTCTTTCTTCTTCGGTCTTTGTGTTGAAACAGCCGATAAGACGGCGGCAAGTGTGGAATTTTGCTCCATCAGCTGTCCGGACTCGTGCACAATACTCATGCAGCACCTGGGCGAGCAGATAACGACTTGTTGAAGTGAGGTGTATACTTTCCAGTCATTATCTCTTTTCTTCAGGGCAACCCTGATCGACATAAACGGGTGTGTAAATGAATCTCGTTCAGTTCTTTAATCTGACAGTCGAGCGGTTGGTTTATTTTTTGAACCGATCACGCTCAGTATCGTTAAATTTTATTCGACACAGACAATTGTCGTTATATTTCAGTGACGCGTTGGTTCATGCATTCACAACGACAACTGATCTGGGTGTCAGATGATCCGATGACTCACCGATCTTATACTTTAAACCACTCTTCACGCACGATTGGTTGCTATTTCTCTGCGGCCCAGATGGATGATAGGATGGGGCTCAGCAGATGATAAGGATCCTGAATGTCGATCGATCTGAGCGATATACTGAGCAGTTGTTGGATGGAACGCTATTAGTACTCCAGACCCCAGAGCGATGTATCTCCCAGAGATCTGATACCCGATAGATCCTCTCGAAATACTAGTTCTACGTTCGTGTATTCATTCGATCTCTGACAGTCGATGCCTTATCTAACTCAGCACCTATTCTAGGCCATCATCCGTCATCGTGCTTCTATTTAGTGCGGGGTTGGAAGACCCCTGCTTCAACTTCCTGCCATCGATACACGGCGCATCTCGATGATTTAGCCACTCTCCGGAACTTTATTCTCCTCCTGCCTAGATTCGTGTCCTCACCTACAAGTCATTTTCCTCATCGGTCGTTGCAACAGCCCACGTTACCCTTCAATGTGCCTGCAAAACACCTCCTAATCCTCCACTTTTCCGGGTCCGTTTCCCACCTTCTATCGGACACTCCATTCAAACGATCGGTTTTGTTTACTTGCCCTAGGAGCGACTGTGATTAGTATCGACGGGTGTATCTCAGATGTATGCATATCTTTATCTCGTTCGGTACTTTACTCTGATGGTCAGCCATGAGTCCGCACGATTTCTTCATTTTTCCTTCTCCGTTGCCCGGATGGACGAGAATGCATCTCAGACTAATCAACTATCAGCCATCTGGGCTTCAGGCTCCCAGTCACTTCTTCTTCATCTGTGTGCTCAGATAGAAGAACTCCACAAAGGCATAGAGTCAGTTGTTTCGTTACTTTATACTGATTCCCGTTCATTTCAGTATTGGGCATCGAGGACTGGGTTGGCTGTTACACGTTCTGGACAATTTTGGTGTAACTGTGGGTGGACTGTTCACTGGGTTCCAGTAGAGATACATCAAGAAATGGATTGGTATACGTAAACCTCGATTTAAATATGCTTGGAAAAACCACATGTCAAATAAATACTACGACGGATCCTCGACCAAATTTCTCATCCCTGCAGACCACTCGCCAAGTATATGTCCTACACAGTGCTACTAGTTGTTACATGTACATGCTCCTGGAAGACAATCGAATTCATGCTATTTTGTGCGTCAAAGTTGGCCACTTGTTTGGCGTGATATTCTCGAACGCTAAGGATAAGGCGTGGTCCCAGCACAAACATCTGCACGGCGAATAAAATATTAAGAGCACCATCGAGTGTGATAGCTCCAGTAGAATATGAATTCTGCAGAAACGGTGAGCAAAGTTTATACGCAGATGTCAGCGATAGGTCAGCGCACAGTGATCTCTGGAGATAGAGAAGCAAGCTGGAGGCAAGAGGCAAGAACAAAGCTAGCACGCACGGGACTTTAGCAGAAAAATATGACCACAATTACATGGCAAACTCGCCTTGCAAAATAAAGCACGTGAGATTGTATCAGCACTCTGAAACAGTCTCCGATGTTCGTTCCTGTCGAATGGCCGAGTCTTCGCAGGTCACGGAAGTGTTTCACAGCAACCCAGGCTGAAAGACACAGTGCGAGGACCTCCCAAACAGTGTTGAGCATCCAAATCATTGAAGTAAGAAGCTGCTCAGCCACATAAGTGCACATATACGTGCCAGAGAGTATCAGCTCATCTGGCATTCGTCCAATGAGCTGCGTTCTTCGAGTCGACAAATAAGCTCACCCCCTAGACTACCCTTGAACCCTATTGCCGCCAAGACCCCGCAGGCGATGTTTACAGCCAGGAACATGATAACAAGGAAGAGAAGCATCATTTTTGATCCCTGATACATGGCATGTAACCGGGCAATCATGATGACTTGCATCATGTTTCAGTCGAGTCAATATCACAGAGGTATTGAGCTAGGTCACCCACCACCCAACATGGCAGTCACGACCACATTTGTCCCATTCAATGCGTAGTTTGTAATATTGCCTGAAACACGCGATAAGTGATCGGCCTCAGGCATTGGTATTAGACACCAACCCACATCTGTGTAGTCATTATGTCGTGCCAGGCTTAATATTCGGAATCTCACTCACCCCTACATATGAGCGCATTCATTGAATAGGAATGAGATGGTTGCGTGATACTCACTGCATGTCCCAGCGAGACCAATGGCATATTCACTGTGTGCCGCTGGTCAGAAGAATCGAACACAGCACATATGACACATACCCAGTATAAATCCACTGATTGTCAGAGAAGAGCATTAGCACAATGCCAAGTTGTTGGCCTCGACACATACACAGAATGTGGTATTCCAATAAAACGTATCTGGAACCATCTTGGAGTCAGCACGACTTGCCAGCCACGCTATAGCACAACATGAGGTACGAACAAGCAAATACAGCACAGTCATGAGAGACCATCGTTGCCTCTGTTGCGAAATAGTTATATTCTCTTCTTTTCCGCTTGTACGGGACTCTTGTCACTTACCCAGATCAGTTCAATCTATGACACTATTGTTAGCGAGATGGCTGCTCTGGCAATAATGTCGACATACCTCTTGTCCAATCGTTAGCACTGGAATATTATGAGAATATCAGCAGTTTTCGAACACTGTCCTGCTCACCCCAATCATATACCACGACGACGCCGGCGGCAACTGCGAAAGCTCAAGTCGATGTTAGATCTAGAGATCTTGATACGACAAACCTGTCCAATAGCTGAAAGCAATATTGAAATTGATTATCGGCCACACACTGGGACCATTTAAGACTATGGTCATATTCGAGGATAAGTATAGGGCGAATGGGGAGTGTTGGTGGTGTATAACGATAGCGTTCATACTAGATATACCCCCCGTTCAGCCCTTTTACCACTGCCGAAATCTGCATGATGGAGATGGACACTTGATCGGGTGAAGTAAGTACTATCGCGAACCCGTGGTGAGAAATCGTACAACTCAAAAGTTTTCAATAGGCCACACCAGGCAGACAACAACAATAGAGACACACCTCACATCAGAAAGAAAAAGAAAACGAGAGCTAACATTCTTCTCGCTACCCTGAACATGAAGGGCCGTGCATCCCCCCAACTAGGGAACAGTGAAATATCAAAATGGTCAACAATACAACACATTATGAGAGAGAAAAAGATAGGCATACTATGCGTCCAAGAAACGCACCTACTGCCTGAACACGAAACACGAATAAGTGAACTATACTCACGAAGAATCAAAGTCATAAACTCGAGAGACCCACACCGCCCAGGTAATTCGGCAGGGGTAGCAGTAGTGATCAACACCGAAATCTTCAACCCGAATGAACTAGAAACGACAGTAATCATCCCCGGCAGAGCCTTGGCACTTAAAACAAAATGGCATAACACACACCTGACCATCGCCAACATATACGCCCCAAACAACCACACGCAACACGCTGAGTTCTGGAACAAAATATCAAGAACCTGGCAAGAAAAATGTCTACCCAATCCAGACTTCATGATGGGAGACTTTAATATAACAGAAGATGCACTTGACCGAGCCCCAGCCCGCCCTGAAAACGAACAGGCACTAGACGCCCTCTGAGACCTAAGATTCCAGATCAACATACAAGACACCTGGCGAATTAACAACCCATCATCACGTCTCTTCACATTTTACAGCAATACAAACTCACATTCACGCCTAGACCGCATATACACATCGCCAAACCATGAACGCAACATATTTGGATGGGACTCGTGCACCTCGGCCGTACCAACGGACCACAGAATGGTCCTCGTAAGATTTGCTCCATCAGACACACCTTTCGTTGGAAAAGGCCGCTGGTCCTGGCCAATAAGCCTGATAAACGATCAAAAACTCATTGAGAACATCAGCAAAGCAGGAAAACAAATACAACAAAAGATAACCCACCAACAAATTCGAAGATCACAATCAGAAAACCCACAGCGAACTTGGGAGGAATTTAAATCACAAATCCGTCAGCTCGCAAAAATAACAGCAAAAGAACACCTGAATAAAATCAGAACAAGAACCAAACAACTCGAAAAAGACCTACGAAGAACGGTAGCAAACAACGACATAGACAACAACGAAAACACCCGACGACAAAAAGCCTGGATCGAAAGTGAGATAAACCACCTAGAACAAAAGAGTTTCAAAAAGAAACAACAACACTCACAAGCGAAATGGGCAGCGAAGGGTGAAACCATGAGCAAATACTGGTCGAGAATCAACAATAGTAAGACACCTTGCGACATAATATATAAACTAAAGATACCCAACCAAAACCGATTTGCCTCCCGTTCCGACCAGATGGCTGAAATAGCACGATCTTACCACGAGAACCTACAAAAAGACAACATGTCCGAACAAGAAGCAGAAATGAGGCAAACAGAAATACAAAACACAATGAGCGAGATCCCGCAATCCCAGAAACTATGGAACGACGACTCACCACTACACAACCTCCTAAAAGAAAACCATATCCAGGAAGCCTTGTATGCCTCAAAGGCAGGTAGCGCCGCCGGAATAGACGGAATCCCATACGAGATCTGGAAAAACCTACACGAAAAACACATCAACGATCAAAAGAAAGAACTACCTAGCTTTAACATAATCAAAACTCTCACACTAGTAATAAACGACATCCAGGAACATGGCGTCGATGACAATACAGACTTCACCCTGGGATGGATGTGCCCCATCTATAAGAAAAATGAGCGCACAGAAATAAAGAACTACAGACCGATCACCCTGCTGAACACCGACTATAAGATCCTCACGAAAGCACTAGCTATGCAATTAGCACGAGAAGTACACTCACTGATTCACTCCGACCAAAGCGGCTTCATACCTAAACGCTCCATTTTCGACCCCATACGTCTGGCAAGACTAATGATCGAATATGCAGACATTGCTGAGGAAAACGGTGTCCTAATTGCGCTCGATCAAGAAAAAGCATATGACAGAATAAAACATGACTACCTAATAACAACCCTCGAAGCCTTCCAGCTCCCACAAACCTTCATCACGACGGTCAAGGCCCTGTATAAAAATGCACACACTAAGGTGGCAATAAACGGCATACTAAGTGCCCCGTTCCGAGTCACCAGAGGGGTACGCCAAGGCGACCCCCTCTCATGCCTCCTCTTCGACCTCGCAATTGAACCATTAGCATGCACACTACGAAAATCAGAAAAACTCACAGGCTACAACATACCGGGACTAACAGACAAAATAATAGTAAACCTATACGCCGATGACACCACCATATACCTAAATGAGACTGGACAAATACAGTGACCTAGAAACAATACTATCAAAGTGGTGTCGCGCATCTGGAGCAAAATTCAACCTCGAAAAAACCGAAATAATACCAATAGGATCAAAAACGCACCGTGACAGAGTAATACGAACACGGCAACCAAACCACCTCGAACCACCACTAAGCAACGACATTAGAATAGCACCGGACGGCCACCCCATAAGGTCTTTAGGCGCCTGGATTGGTAACAAAACCAATGATGTAACCCCATGGGAACCGATACTGAACAATGTCAACATAGCACTGAAAAAATGGCAAAAAGGCCACCCAACTCTAGACGGAAAAAAACTAATAGTACAAATGATCGCAGGCGGCATGACACAATTCCTAACTAAAGCCCAAGGTATGCCAAAGAACATTGAAGCCGCAATGACAAAGATCATACGCAACTTCATCTGGAACAATGCACGCACCCCCCCCCCATTAGCCTAGAACAAATGCACCGCCCAAAAGAAGAAGGCGGAATCGGCCTACTCGACATCAAATCAAGAAATGAAGCAATAGAAGTGACATGGGTAAAATCGTACCTAGATCTTTCCCCGTCCAGACCAACATGGGCCTCGATAATGGACCTAATACTGAACAAAATAAGACCGAAATACAACAATAATGAAAACACTAACCCATTCCTCACATCATGGGTCCCTCCGACAAGAGGCCCCAGAGTGACATCCCTACCTCGCGAAGCACAAATGATACTAAAAACAGCGAAAAAACTCAACATCAGTTTCGCACCGATAAAACTCTCAAAAGAACTTAAGAAAAGTCTCCCATCATGGTGCCATCCAGGCGCACCTAAGAACACGTACCACAAATCAAAAAATAAATGCCTAATAGACACGCATAAATCGGACAACATCAAACACCTTCTAAAAATCAGGAAAAGACTAACGCGAATCAGCGAGAACGACCAACACTTCCCGAGAAAAACATGCCCCTGTACCGCATGTAATAAAGACCGAGAAGAAGGATGCAATAACCCTCACACCTGCGCCCAATACGCAAATGAAATCCTGTTTAAAATCGCACCCAAATTTAACACCAAAACAAAACCGAAAAAAGACGGACTATCACTAACTCACCGCAGAAAAGAAAAGAACTATCAGACACACCAAAGACGACAAGGGGAAATCCTCTTCGATCCCACAGTAACGATACGATCCAGCCTATCAGAATGCTTCAGAATCTTCCTAGACCCAAACAACACATCACTCACCCCAGCACACCGCCTACAAGCACCGACAAGGGGCCTCAATCTCATACAGGACAACATGACCATCTTCACTGACGGCTCATGCTTGAACAATGGAAAAGAAAACGCACAAAGTGGATGCGGAATATGGATCGGAGAAAACCACCCCAAAAACCTCGCCTTCAGAATCCCAGGACAGAAACACTCAAACCAGATAGCAGAACTGTCAGCAATACTACTAGCACTGCAACAAACAGAACCATACATACCTATAACCTTTGTAACCGACTCCAGGTATGCCATTGATAGCTTAACCAAACACCTCCCACATTGGGAAGACACCGGATGGATCGGCATCGCAAATAGTGAATATATAAGAGCAACAGCATACCATCTACGAAGACGGTCAGCCCAAACCGCATTCATATGGGTAAAAAGACACAACGGACATCAAGGAAACGAACATGCCGATAGACTGGCAAAAGAAGGAGCAAACAAACCACAGCCAGACGAATTAAACTTAACCGTACCAAGTGAATTCAACCTACAAGGAGCAAAACTGTCAGCCATCTCACAATCCCTCGCATACAAAGGCATAAGAGAAAACAGACCAACGATCCCGAGACAAAAAACCACAAACAACCTGGACGTTACCAGATTTGCAATACAAGAAATAACCGGACACCTAGAAACAGATGCCAGCATTTGGGAGAATAGCAGACACAAAGATATATCTCGCAAGACGAGACAGTTCCTGTACAAAGCCATGCACGGTGCACATAAAATCGGAGAATACTGGTCAAAAATACCAACATATGAACATCGGGCGAAATGCACCCACTGCAACGCAGACAACGAATCCCTAGAACACATTTTGATCAACTGCCCAAATAATACCAGCTCACTAATCTGGTCCCTAGCCAAACGAACATGGCCCCTAAAATTTGGTAACTGGCCAAGGATAAGCATAGGAACAGTCCTAGGATGCGGAAACATAAACCTACCACCGTTAACTAGACAAAATAACCCACCCGACAATCAACCAGCGAACAACTCACAAAAAGGCGCCTCCAGACTCCTGAAAATTCTGATATCCGAATCCGCGTACCTAATATGGACAATGAGGTGCGACAGAACAGGGACCATTTAAGACTATGGTCATATTCGAGGATAAGTATAGGGCGAATGGGGAGTGTTGGTGGTGTATAACGATAGCGTTCATACTAGATATACCCCCCGTTCAGCCCTTTTACCACTGCCGAAATCTGCATGATGGAGATGGACACTTGATCGGGTGAAGTAAGTACTATCGCGGACCCGTGGTGAGAAATCGTACAACTCAAAAGTTTTCAATAATCAATTGCGTAAGCAGGGACAGGAAAGTTCCAGTCGTAACTTAGAATGTGATTTGCAAACCAGCGTCGCACGCGACTAGTCGGACAACTGGGAAAGGGAACTTTATTCTCCTCATGATCATCCTGCCGGGATATCGATGCGTCTGCTCGCCAGCATCCACAAGTTGTTTTTCTTGTTGGTCGTTGCACTGGCAACTCAGCCCACGTTGTCCTTCAACGTTGCCTCAAAACGTTACTTTAACGTACCTCAGCGTGCCTGCACAGTGCAAACTACCTTCGAATCTTTCACCTTTCCCATTTTCTATCAGTTGCCAAACATTCCGCATGATTTCAGCTTGTCACTTGGCGCAAGCGTAAGTGAGTAGCTACTTCGTTACAATAGTAACGTAACAATAAACGCGTTGACTAAAGTTAGACCTTTCGAATATACTGCAAAATACACTATGTTAAGCAAACACCACGATGGAACCTCAACCAAATTTCTCCTCCCCGCAGACCGTTCGGCAAGTATTTCCCTACCCAATACTGGTAGTTGATACATGTACAGACTCCTGGAATATAATCGAATTCATGCTAGTGTCTGCATCGAAGTCAGCCATAACTTTTGCGTGATATTCTCGAACGCCAAGGATAAGGCGTGGTCCCAGCACAAACATCTGTACTCTCCATAAAATTTGGCAAGCGCCAATGAGTACCTGAGCTCCGGTAGACTGTCAATTTTACAGAAATGATGAGCAGTGGTTACACGCAGATATCAGCGACAGGTTGGCGCACCATGGCCACTGGAGATATAATCACCGTGACAAGGTTGAGGCAACAGACATAAACAAAGCTAGCACACGCGGAACTTGAGCAGAAAAAGACAGCCCCATTCACATTACTAGCTCACCTTGCAAAATAAAGCACGTGAGAATTTATTAGTACTCTTGAACAGTCCTCGGTGGAAGATCCTGTTGATGGGCTGAGTCGTCGCAGGTAATAGAAGTCTTTCACAGCAATCCAGACTGAAAGACACAGTGCGAAAATCTCCCATAACGTGTTGAGCATCCAAAACATCGAGTTCAGAAGCGTGACGTCCCCTTCATATCCATCATTGCACATATACGTGCCAGAAAGCATCCACTCCTCTGGGGGTCTAATAAGCCATGTTCGAGTCAACAAGTAAAGCTTACCCCATATGATGTCATGGATTCCTATTGCCGCGATCACTCCGCATGCAATGTTAACAGCTAGGAATATGATAATAAGGAAGATAAGCATTATTCTAGATCCCTGATATATAGCATGCAACCGAGCAATCATAATGACTTGCACCATGTCCCAGTTGAGTCAACATCATTGAGGTATTGCAGCTGGGTAACTCACCACCCAACATGGCAGTCACGATCAAGTTTATCCCATTCACTGCGTCGTACGTAATTTTACCTGACACACCCAATTAGTGAACATCGTCATACTAGTTGGTATCAAACACTCCGACTTACACCTATTAATGTTGAGCCGAGTTCAATGGTCAAAATATCACTCACCCCTACATACGAGTGAGTCTATTGGAAAGGGATGAAATGGTTGTATAATACTCACTGCATCATTTAGCGAGACAAATGGCATACTTCCTGTGTGCCGTCGGTCAGAAGAATATACAGCGCATATGACACATACGCAGAACATAGGTGCTAATTTATCGGACACGAGCTATTAGCATGGTGTCAAGTTGTTTGCCTCGGCACATACATAGAATATGGAATTCCAATATAGCGTGTCTACAAGATTGGGGAGTCAGCACAACCTGCCAACCACGTTACAGTGCAAAATGAGGTACGAACAACCAAGTACAGCACAGTCGCGGGAGACCAGCTTTTCCTCTGTCGTGAATTCATTTTATTCTCCTATTTTTTTTCTGATATAGGGCTGTTGTCACTCACCCAGATCAGCTCAATCTGTGACACCTTTCTTAGCGAGTTCGCGGCTGCGGCAATAATATCAACACACCTCTTGTCCAAGTGTCAGTACTGACGACATTATGTGAATATCAGCAGTTTTCGCACACTGTCCCACTCACCCCAATCGTATACCACGACGACGCCAGCGGCAACTGCAAAATGGCAAGTCAACGTTAGATTAAGACATTTTCACGCGACCAACCTGTCCAATAGCTGAAAAAAATGTTTGAATCGATTGTCGACCACCACTTGGGGTCATTTGAGACTACAGTCATATTCGAGGATTCCGCGTGTAAGCGAATGGGGAATGATGTCGGTGGGGTAGTGTATTATAACCATAGATATAGAGTCAAGATCAACGATTTGATTGGCTGACTTGGTGATGTGAACTCAGGTACTACATATAGTAAGTATGCAAGTACGCCAGCTCATCGAGCAGCTTATAGATAGAACATGACTAATTGGGTATTTGCAATATTGACGACGCGCGAATGGGACAAATGTGATTGTGACTGCCAGTGTGCTCTGCGCCGTTGTACAATCGTATGCCTTTATACGACAGACCGCCCTAGATACAAATGAAACCTAATTTGAATGCATCATTGCTCAGATGTATCTTTCTCTCGCTGTGTTCACGCTTTCAAATGAGCGGTGAAATGGTTCAGGACGACTTCTGCAGAGTCAGCCGCAGGTTCTTAAATACGTGCTATGCCACTTACACCGCCAAGAGGCAAGATGGTTGACGAAAGGGTCCTTTAGCTTCCCATCAACTGCTAGATGGCGACTAGGATCAAAGCGTGATGCATCCGGAAACACGTCTTTATCCCGAGATAGTGCCCTGAGCTATGCTCAGCTCAAGCCGGCATTACATGCACTCCACCGTGATGATATACCACTGATTAACCATTACTATTGCACCTGATCGGACTATAGATGAGTCAATAACAACTACCTCGACACATACGACTTAGAACCTTCGGGTGCCCGGGCTTGGACGTCAGAATAAAGCACCATGGCCAGCAGGAATGTGTCCAATGCGAATGCAACCTGCGGGACATAAAAGTAAGAATCAGGTTTGCTGAAGTGGTGACTCACGGTGTCCATGCCAGCTAAGATGCCGTATCCGCGTCAATGGATGAACTATGTCCTGGCAAAAAATAAAACTCTCACCAATGAATCCCATCAACGCAACATCCTTCATCGTATGACTTCGTCAGCGTCGTCGTGAGGTTAACTGAGAAAGTCAGTGACCAATGAGTGTGAAGCTGCAAACAGATCAGGCAAAATTCTGTATCCCAGTCCTCAATCCCGAGCCAATCTAGCAGCCAACAATGTAGGAATAACAATAAATTACGCTTCCAAACACAATATCACAACTTTGACTCCATCCATAATCCTACACCCTCCCCCTCCGCAACACTCAGCCACTGTCTTTCTACTTCTCTTTCTCTTGCGACCCATGCCTGTACCCAGTCGACGATACCGTCTACCAGTTTCTTTACATCGTCACGAGTGTGTCCTGCGTGCAAACATACTCTTACTCGGGATGTTCCTACAGGAACTGTGGGCCATGTTATTGCTTTTGTAAACAGCGGTTGTGGAAGGGCGGCAAGATGTGCAGCAAGGGAATGTGGATGAGGCGTGAGAAGAGGGATGATGGGCGCTGGGGGCGGAAAGGATGGATCGGAGGCAGTGTTTGTAGCATCCTCATGATCATCCGTACGTAGATGGCCAGGCAAGCAGAGCAGTTCGGCTGGAGCTGACTGTAGGTGAGGTCTTAGAAGCTCCAAGAAGTATTTTGATAGATCTAGGAGATGCATTGCGAGCTGAGTCTATGTTAGTAACAGGTTTACGAAATTTTGGGACACAGCTTACCACTTCTGCACTTCCATTCTCCAGCATATCGAAGGCACACTCGATGGCGATGATATTTGCATACGTGAGCGTCGTGGTGTATATCAGTGGACGGGCATAATTCAAGAGATAATCCCGTATGAGTTCTGTAGTTAGAATTGCAGCTACATAGATGCTCAGGATGTCGTACAGCAATCTAAGTGAAAAAACTCGCACCTCCTGATCCCGCAAGCGCCTTCCCAAATGTATGCAAGCGTGCCAGGACGCGTCCCTCGAGTCCTAGCGCAGCAACCATCCCTCTACCTTGCGGACCATATATCCCTGTTGCATGCGCCTCATCCACTATCACGTATCCATTCCTCCTTGGCAGCAATTCTTCGACACAGTGCACGATGTCTTGTAAGGGGGCGAATGTCCCATCCATGCTATATAGACTTTCCACCGCAATGAATGCGCTTGCTCTCCCATCCCGCAGATCATCTCGCTCGTGGAGTAGTTTTCGCAGCGATCGCTTGAGTGCAACGACTGAATTGTGTGAAAATTTAACGAGGCTGGAGGAATCTACTCGCGAGGCTCCCATCCCATCATGCACAGATGCGTGGATATGTTCATCGTATAGGATTATGTCGCCCGGTTGAGGAATAGCGGAGAAGAATGCAACGTTCGCGTCGAAACCTGAGTTGAATAACAATGCCTTTTCGGCGCCGAAGAATTTCTCCAGTCGATTTTCGAGGGCGACATGAGCAGGCGTTGGCACGAGCAACCGAGAACCGCCTGATCCGAGTATTTGAGGAGCAGTAGAAAGAGCAGATTGGAACGCCGTGCGAAGCGTCGATGATGTAGCGAGGGAGAGATAGTCGTTCGATGTAAAATCAGCAGAGGGGAGCACTGGAGAGGCCGAGACGGGGAGACGTCGACGAATGTGCCGCTTTTCTCGGGATGAAAGGGCAGCAGAGAGTTTATCGTTTAAAGAAGACATTATTGTACAATGATTGGGTGATCAAGCTAAGGTTTGAGCGCTGAGCGTGCGCACGGACACGATTTGGCACCTTACATATTTTGAACGGAGCCAAAACGCCTTTTATTTGACCTCGTACGATGATCTTAATGGTAGTGCAGGGCCTACGGAATAGGGATCTGATTCATTCACTAGTTTCAGCCTATGACATTCTCATAATACGGTTTGATTAAGGAAATCATATTTGAGAGGTGGTTTAAAATTTGACCGTACAACATGCTACATTGTAAGATAACTCAATCAGTTTAAATTACATCTGAGCGTTGTCTGGGCGGGCTAGAAGCATATGTATACCTGATAATCATCTTATCATCGAGTGAGATGATGAAAATTTTAATGCGCCGTCAGAAAGCATGTCTCATTGTCCAAGACTAATTGATAACTTAGCAAACGTGTTGCTAGAAACTCACAGAATAATCACTTGCAAATGCCCTTGGCTATCGGACACGTCAAGGAAAACCCTTGACAACAAACCAGGAAGAAATGGAGATCCAATAATAGACAGACACGAGAAGCAGACGTCTCTGTGAATCCATGACGAGCGAGGCGCCCTAAAAATTATAAAATTTAAATTGTGCAGGGTTATCACGTACCGCACCTGTCAGTCATATAATCGAATGATCATCAACGTAACACCCTCAAACCAAGCAGGACTAAGGCTTACATCTGGTGGATCTTTCCTCTTTTCACTTGGCGCACTGTATCAAATTCATGATGGTATGTTGATACAGAAGAGACGGGTATTTCCGACCATTCCAGTGGATAATGGAAGCGACACGAAGGTGCCAGATAGTAGAACGTGCATGCTGTGCCCGTCAAGATGGGAAAATGGGATATCACCATACTACCAAAGCAATGTGTGAGAAAGTCCTGAAGAAGGCAACCGGAAGAGTTGAGCTCCACACAGAAAAAAGTACGCCACTCCTCTGACAAGAAATATCAGAGTTACTTGCGTACTGTACAGACAACTAGGCTCACTGGATGAATGTGGTAATTACCCCTTGCTGAATGAATTTTTGAAGTAACACGCCGACCTTGCGGTTGCAAGCGAACGTGCGCAAAACCAAGCTTGAAAGGAAACACCGCCTCGATCAGTGACCTCAGTCTGATTATAGAACAAGCACTTGGGCAACGAGGTGGCACGGCAATGTTGGGTGTTCAACGCTCAGCGTGCATCTGTTTGCTACATTTTACCATCAAATCAAAATCCGCCATCCCATACAAACGTTCATTGCATGGTAGATGGGCAATCATGCGTCCGGCTTCCGGGATTTCAGCTGTAATCTGAACAGGGCTGGTGAGTATATCAAGGTTTCCGGATAGATGCGAAGGTAGGATACACACGCATGCAGTTCTCACTTCCTTGTAAGTGTATCAACTTCAACCCCTTGACGTGAGCAGATAGAAATGCAGGGGCGGTGTGAATCAATGCGAATGCTTTGGCAACGAGGAAACGCACTGGCGGTGACAAACCTTGACCTTCAAGGGCCGCCTATCCAAGCAGATGCCCCGCAACGCCAGTGTTGCTACGCTCCGAGCACCCTTCAGCTGCAAAAAGCGAGCGTGGTATTTGCGTCAGGGCGTTGAAGTAGCCTGCGCGAATTGACAAATTAAAAGCTAGAAACAGGTTAAGATGTACCCTGACGGCCCTACTATGAGGTCTGGTCTTTGGTACTGACAGGTCGTGTCTTGAGAATTTTGGATTTGATATCTACTAGCCTGTCTACCAACGGACGGGCCAGGCGTTATGTCATGACGGTGACAGTTCACATGCGGTCCCGCGGCTTATTTTGTGGCCACTGTTCTGTACTAGCTGTACTAGTACTAGCCTGGTGAAGTTTAACGGCAGGAAATTTTGAGTAGTAGATCGCTGTCAGATTAAAATAATTGCCTTCCTCTCTACGACACCTGATGCGGATAAAGAGGGCTTCCATGCGCGAACGCGACAAAACTATTAGCCAGATATAGTCAGCAATTGGCGCTGCCGGCCAGAACCAAATGTTGAGCGCTTGGTTTGGGATATTAGTCTACAGCCTGAAGAACATGCTGTTAAAGAAAGCCCACCAATGAAGAAGCTCACTTCCGTGCTGCAGTGGGGGCTGTCGGGTTACGCATGAACGTAAAGCCAGGAGCCTTCGAATCCAGAAGGATCATGCATTGTAGCCTATCCAAATGGAGCATTATCATGATGCGGTGCGATCAGTGGCTGAACAAAGTCACAAGCATTGGCAGTGCACCAGATCGACTTTACAAAAGGGTAGATCAAGTCAGGCTACTGCAACAGGAGAAGTTGAATTGAATAACGATTCTAAGGGCGATTTGAACGTACAATCCAATTGCGATCAGTGTATTTCCTTGTATTTCTCCTAGTTCGGGATTTATGACGCTAAGCCGCCGGCTTATCTGTATGCAGTACAGCTAGCTTGACCATTAAATTATGAATAAGACTCCGAGTCATAACTTGACATAGTAAATCTCAAAAGTCGAAATCGCTGTCGAGTTCCTCAGAATTCTCTATCCGCTGATCTAGAGCCTGGCGGCAAACTTGAAGCTTGACATGTACCTGCCTGTATAGGCTTATAGGCGCGGCCTGAGTTGGGTGCCTAACAGATTAAATTTTTTGATGGTTGGTAATGCGATCATCGCACGGATGAACCTTCGGATTCGTTGGTAAGTATACAAGTAGTTGTCGTTACTTGAAGCCGTTTCTGTACCGATAATCTTCGAGCCTAAGACTTGGTGGGCTTGGAACGAAATGAACTGTGTTTCAATGCAGCACTTGGGTTATTGGAATGATGAACAAATGATTGAAAGGTTCAAGACAACACTTGTTGATTATGTAATCATGCATATTATTATATAGAGTTCTCTCCAGTATACAACTATTACGAATACAAGCACACTTACCTGAGAACCCCGAAGTTCGCAAGAATCAGCTCCCAGTGCCGGCATTTCACAACGAGCGTTCAAATTACCAAAGGAACCCACGTGGAAAGTTTGCTGAGGATGTACCAAATTGAAATTTCCACCCTATGAAAGTTCCGTGCAAGTCGCCGTTCACGTGCCGAGAACAGTCGCATCTGGATAGGTACCTCGGCAGTTCTCTTGCTTTTCTTTTTTTGGCCCTGGTGAAGAGTTACAAACTACTTATATATTTTGATGCGCATGCACTGCCCATGACGGATTCCCGAGTAGCCCTTACTTTTTCATCGACTTTCTTACCTTTGCTGGCCTAGATGTCTGGAAAAGTATGTTATATCACATCTGACGCTCGTCAAATTGATTCACCCAACCTCTCCAGGCAGAACTAACCATAAATTTTCTTGTCGTTGGTGGCGGGATTGCAGGTCTTTCCTGTGCGATAGCATTGAGACGAGTCGGCCATCGTGTGGTCGTTCTCGAACAATACTCCGATTCAGACATTTCGAAGGTCGGTATCCTACAACTGTCTATGTCGAGCATTCTCAATGTGCCACTGGACAGATGTCGCACGGAGGCATTCGGTTGCCTCCAAATGTTTCGAAAGTGCTCTTTCATTGGGGCCTCGAGCGTGCTCTTCGGCAAGTATCCATAAACTCAAGTGCTATGCAGATCGAGATTTGTTCGTGTACATCAACACCTCACCTCCACTCTATACCTGACTATATCTACAGACGAAACTGGCGAGTTTATTGGCACCCATCGTTGGAAAGAAGAGATTCTGCGAGAGACCGGAGGAGAGTTCCTCTTCCTGCATGTACGTACAATCCCCTGCCCTTAGACTTTCTTTATATTGTTTTCATCTTCTCATATAGCACGCCAGTCTCCGACAAATTTTGTACGATGCTGCTATAGCAGCGGGCGCTGAGGTGCGGGCAGGCACAACAGTTGTCTCTGCAAGCGGCCATGGCCCCCGCGTGACGTTATCCACGGGGGAAACACTGCTAGCCGACGTGATCGTTGGCGCCGATGGCCGCTCGAGTATAGTGCAACAAGCAATCCTCGGTAAGGATGTTCCTCACGAAGCGCCATATCATTTTCTATTCTACAAGTAAGCATTGCCCTGAACTTTGCTGATAGAACTGGTTGTCTAACTGCCCTAGTACTACTATCCCCGGAGCACTCATGAGAGCTGATCCTCAATTGGCACCCTTCCTCAAACAACCTGATGTAAGTCGCACACTTGCACGATCATGATTGGCCTTAATGTAATGTTTAGGACGCTGTGATTATCTGGCTAGGAAACAATCGCTCGGCCATGGCGTTTCGTATGGTATGCTAACATTTGTGAGGTGCCGTACTTAATCTAACAGCTACTGAGTAGGGCGCTAAGGATGAGTTCGCGCTACATCTATGGGTGCCTCCCACGCAAAAAGGGCTATCCGATCATGATTGCTGGGAAGGAGGCCTTGATTTAAAGGAGATGCGGCGGCAGCTAGGAGAATGCGAACCGAGGTACGACCAATCCAGTGAAGTTCGTTTATTTTGGCTGATTGAAAATTTTAGGCTCCTAAAGATGATCAAATTGGCTGCCACACCTGCCCGTGTACGAGTCAAGATGGTTCCACCATTGCAGGATTGGGTTGATGAACACGGTCGTATGGTAATTATAGGCGAGGCTGCACATCCACTTCCAGTATGCTATCATTCTGACCGTGATATGACACATTGCGCTGACACTTCCTTCAGGCAGGATCCTTGCAGGGCGGTGCAATGGCTGTAGAAGACGCCGCTGTGTTTGCAAGGCTTTTCTCCCATCTGCGAGATAAGGACCAAATATCGACATTCTTGCATGCTTTTCAAGATCTTCGGGAAGATCGCTGTGCCAGTGTTGTGCATACTGAGCAATGTAATCTGTATTTTCAGATGATGCCGGCTGGTCCTCAGCAGGAGCAACGCGATCGGGAGATGCGTGCCAAGACTGCTCAAGGGGAAAGCATTTTCGGTGGTGGCGAAGCTTCCGAACAATGGGATCAGCTCAAAGAACTTTTGGCATACGACGCCGAGGATCAAGCCGATGACTGGTGGGTCAAGTGGGGCCTTCTCCGCGAGCGAGCCAAGCAACGATCATTAGACATGGAAGCAGAAATGAATATTACCCGGCTGAGTTGTCTCCGTATGCGAGCGTGACATGTACTCTCCCTCTCTTCATTATATTATGTTTAGTGTATTCACATATATTCCTTGTTCCTTTCGTTTAATTGTCGCTCTCTAAACAAGCCAGTCGTTTGGTTATCTTTTATTTCTGTAATCTCTTGCATATCTTCAAGATATCTAGATATATCACAGTTAATATGAACATTACTAGTAGTAGTATCGTCGCTGATGTGCCCTATGATACTCAGTCATTGAACAGATTAATAAACATCTGCTGCCTGATTGTTTGAAATTTGATGAATCGATGAGGTGTACGCTCCACCATTCCCTCCAAGTCTACCTGTTTATTGCATGAGAATCTGCAACAGCTTACCCCGAAGGACTTCTGACACTTCAGGTTTAGGGTACAGGGTCCACCATTGGGTAGCTGTAACGATTCAAGGTCGTGACGAATCGATAGGTGTTTCTCGGATTAGGAACATTTCAAAAACCCCTCGTCACTTTAAGTGACAAGCCGGAGCTTACATTCACATTTGTACACAATACCTCGTGTCATTCGCAGTACACCATGCACGTGGTCTTTGTTTGCATCTTCTTAGTGCTTCGGATATTCTTTAACCACGATGGGTTTCGACTTGATCCTAGCGAACGGGCAAGTCCAATAGCTCAGGGTGACGAAAGCATGAGATATCGTTTTCTATAGGTGAAGGGCATCGGACACCAATTAAGACCGCTAATACGATCAATGGACTCTAGCAAATTATCAACATCTTCGGTAAACACCTCTTCGCATCTCTTCTTCTCTGAGAATTGAGTCTGAGTGATGACGACGCAAAAGCTCCCGTGAAATAACGCACCGGTACTCAAACATAAGTTGCACTCCCACGAAGATAATGCAGCTTGCCGCAAGCAAAAAACGGAATCCTAATGGAATATTAGATAGTCCATTATCATGTGGCGACAAAGAACAGAAGGCGCCCCACCTTGCCACGTTCCCGCCATTTGGCTGGCCATATACATTATCCCGTCGGTACCAATCACAAATCCAACAAGGTTTGCGGAAACCATCATCAATATGTTGAGTACGCCACCGATTGCGCAGACATGGCGATACCATGGAAATTGCCCGTACTAATCGTGCGAATTGAATGAGTTGTCGAAGGTGAAAATACCACGAAGATGGTCTTTGACTAACCTTTGTGTGAGGGAGAAGATACCTCGCAAGCAGCTCAGGTAAGATGAAAAAACTGACTAGCCATCCCCACGCAAGCAAGCGAAAAGAGAGATCATGCCAGAGTGCGACAAATGAGAAAACAAGCGCGGTTGTCAGTGTAACGTTCTTTGTACCCCCGAGCGGAATGTAGATGTATCTGTATGCTAGTAAGTAAGAAGCCTGCGCATGTATTATAATATCCGAACCGGACGATCCAGAGATTGTAAGACCGATGCCAACTTCTCCAAAATCCAAGAGTAGAGTAGTTGTTGACCATGCACCGTACCATGTTTTCAGGTGGGTCGATACCGCTCGCCAAAGACCAGAGACGAAAAAATCTCCAAGGCAAAAGCAGCTACTCAAGTGATCAACCGAAAATCAAACATATTCAAACAGAAACTTACTTTCAACCAAACGATGATGAGGTTCCAAAAACCAATCATACTCAGCTCCAGTGGTGTATAGCCTTGCCAAGCCTTGGTATCTTTGATGGCCACAACATACATATAGTGTAGTATGGACTCCATGGTCAGGAGACTAACAAGGAAACGGACCAAGTAACGGCATTGGACATGTATCGGAATATCTATAGGGTAGCGCAACTGCATAAATGATGTAAATGAAAGCAAATAAAACAGAAGGAAATTGTCATGTACCTGCCACACGAAATTATTGAATGTCAGAATAGGGCCAGCGATGTAGAGCGGAGGATAGAGGACATAGGTGATGTAGTTCCGATATGTATAATCTTCTAAAGGAAGTGGCGTGTTAGCTCTCTGCTTTTCGGTAGAAGCCGAGCTCAAATTCTTCGAGTGCATAAGTATCGAGACAGATGCAGAACATAGTTACTCACCTCTCCTCCACGAGAATTATAGGCCCAATAGTAATCCATATTGAATGACACCAATCTCAGCATAGTGATATTGAAGCTTATGTGCCAACGTGGATAAATGCCTTGGAATGCGTCCTGGGTGAAAGTCAGGAACTGTTCGTAATAAAAGCCTTGAATGACGTACCAAAACTTCTAATGATTGGTGGAGACTGGCATACCGATATCCGCCATATGTCTCATTGGCGAATAAGATTAAAACGTTAAAAATCCAGGTGAGGAGTGGTCCCATGCGCGATCCTCTGGATGTCTTAGCGATCCAGTAATTGGTCGTCAGGATGATTACAATCTTGAATATGCTCGCCCCGTGGAGGCCAGTAAGATACAGAGCAGAGAACACGAGGTAAAATGGAATCAAGTAAAGCTTATCCGAGGGTATACTCAGGGCAGACCGCAACGCAGACCATGTGTATATGTATTTGAGAGCGATGAAGATCAGGACAAGGAATGAGAGTGAAGGTATGTTGTTGCGAAATGACCGATACTGGGTATCACTGTTATCCTGCGAAAATGAAAGTTAGTGAGTCATGTCGTGTTTCCTGATGTTTTGTTTGCATGAAACAAGAGGCAGAAATGGCCAGGATGTCATGCCTACAAGATATGACACTCACAACTTCGCGTCCAAACATCCAGCCTTGTGACAATCTGTGGTGATAATATAGATAATTTGGATGTGAAGCTGACGGATTTTCATAAGTATTAGTGACAACTTTCGGCAGCAAAATCCTACATACGTGAACTCAGGTGGATAGGTACCCATGCCATTAGAGGGATCGCAAACAAGGCAACCACATAATAGAAGATAAATTCTGGAGTTTTCCATCTTGGAGTGGTGTGTGGTTCGTTTGGGATGCGGGTTGAAGCAGGGACATCAACGGTAAGTGAGGTGATTCCCCCTGGCTTTGGTGGAGCGTAGTCAAGGTCAAATGTTGAGAAATGGCCTTCTTGGTTTCGCATGTCTGTAGGCATATCGACCACGATGTCCTTGGGCATGAGCCCCGTATTTTCTCTGGAAGGAAGGTGTTTTGGTTCTGCGAGGTTTCAAGAAGTCAATTAGTCCATTGGCAAGCTGTTAGACTCGGAGATTTAGAAGAAACTCGTCCACCTTCAATTGATGCGTGAATTTTCTTCCTTTTGTGGATGCTAGTGGTATTACACTTTGGAAAATAGAATCGCATCATGGACCTTCCGCCGATATCTACTGTATATCGCCAGTCAGTTCCTCAGTGAAGGAACTTCTTGACTGCATAGCTGATACAATGCTTGGACGTGCAGTGGACGACATTTCCACGGGCTCGGATTCTGAATACTCTAAGTGGGTCCTTTATTTCCTAGCCGTCACGCCCAACTGAAGCTGTGCTGTTTCACCAGTTCGGTGAGAGAACAGTCACGACAGACATGACGCATTCTAAATACAGTCGAAGTGGATCTCTTGGTTTCTTTCATCCAAGGGCAACGAATATTTCTGCGAAGTTGAAGAGGATTATATCCTAGATAGATTCAATCTCACTGGCCTCAACAACGAAGTTTCAAACTATGCCCAAGCGCTCGATTTAATCACGGATAATCTCGGTACATTTCAAAAGCCATCTTGTTAGGATGTGACTGAGAGCCATTGATTCCCAGACGACGATATACAAGACGAGCTACGTGGTGCGCTCGATGTCCAGGCCCGTTTGTTGTATGGTTTAATCCATGCTCGATGGATTGTTACCGCCCGTGGACTAGCTAAAATGGTAATGTCTGCCTGGTCTTACTGCTAAGGCTCCTCACGTTCTTTCAGCTTGACAAATTCAAGCGAGTGGATTTTGGTCGGTGCCCACGAGTACTCTGTCAATCCCAGCCACTGCTTCCGGTTGGCCTCAGTGATACACCCTACGAAAAATCAGTGAAGTTGTACTGCGGTCGATGCGAAGATGTCTACTCTCCCAAATCGTCGCGCCATGGCTCCATTGATGGCGCTTACTTTGGCACGTCCTTCCCCCACCTCTTGTTCCTCGTGTACCCAAGTCTTCTTCCACCGAAATCCGGCCCTGTTGATCCTACTCCAACCTCCCGTGGTGTTGAAAACGATTCCAGCAGAAAAAATAGGAGAGTCAAGGAGGAACCTGAAATTTCCGAGGGTGTTGGAGAGACAGGCAGCACCGCGAGTGTTGCATTGAAATCAGAAAGATATCGACCAAGAATATATGGGTTTCAGCTGAACGAAACTGCGAAGTTGCAGAGATGGCAAGAGGCTGTTCGTGATAGGTGAGTTTGTTTCTCATTTTCAAAGGCCTTTCTCATGCGCAGTGTACAGGCAAATAGTACGTCTCGAAGCGCTCGAGGACCTCAGTTAAATTATTCGTTTTACTTCTTTAAATTGTGATCATATCACATTGGTACAATTGGGTTCGTTATGTTGGAATCCACGTTCTGAGCAGCGTCAGCAAACCTCCAAAGAAAGTTCTCGCAAATAAAAATAAACAACCGGTCTGCATCTACTTCAAAAGAAGAAGAAGAAGAAGAAGAAGAAGACGACGACAACAACAACTACAGTATGACTTTGCCAGTGGGGAATAAGTCGAAAGGAGGCATTGGCAATGCTTGAGAGATGAACAAAAATATGGGTTCGTCGCATATCCATATCATATGAATATCATTCGTGATCACTACTAAGAAAATGCAAGACTTCTGGCGGCTGGCCAACTAGAGGCTTACGCCATCCAGCATCTGAAAGATGAGAATGTCGGTACGATACTTTTCAGATCCCTGTCTACGTAGATCACCCCAGGGCTCTTGCTCCTCTCCACAGACGTTTCAACTATCTCTGCGCCATCTTTTCAGGAACGATTCCTCTCAGATGTGTCAGATCGCTCCGAGCGACTTATTTAAATGGCTCGAGGTATTGCGCTGCTATATATAACTATACGTTCAACTGCATCGATTGGTACCTTACTACAGATTACAACCATCGATAGACAATGATAATCATGATGGTCTTCTCTGTCAAATCTGGTGTACCGAAGAAAGTAGCCAAAGGTAAGGTACCCATATCAGACACCAGCCCAGTGATTGTAGCGTGCTCCACTTTGGAAGCCACCGACTCTTTGAAGTTCTAACTTCTAACCCAGGTGTCTCCGGCACTGCCAGCAAACAATGACGGCTTCACAAAGTCTTCTCGATAGTCTGTACCGTGAAACACATTGTTGTCTATCGCGTCCCTGTAACTTGATAAAAATGAAGGAGCCAGTGGGTCTAATGATGTAGATAACCATTGTTGGAGACTTTGAAGTGGTGCAGAGATCTCAGATGTTGACTCAGCTGTGTCGGAAATTTAAGCGATCTGCGCAAACGGAGTTCACACAAGGAAACACAGTCCCAACGGCCTCTTGCTTCGCCGTGAGCTCAATTTTGTCTATGGTGCATGTACTACGTTTTTGCCACCATCCCACCTTCCCCAGCCTTCAAGCTTCGACTTCAACAACCTTTAGCTAGCCATGAGGTACTACTGGTGGTGAATGCATTCAACTTTTCACACAATAAGTACTCGTACATTTTACGGGTCTTCCAGCCCCGATCAGATATCAGTAAATCCTCGAAACATCATTAAATAACTACATCCGCCTTATTCAAAATACCTTCTTCTATTGCTTTGATTTCTACATTTTGAATCATCAGCAACGCTCCATATACCGCAAGGAAGGAACTCACGCATGGCCAAATGGAGACTGTGGAAGCGCGATAGAGCCAAATTACCTGTTCATCAAGATGAATCGACATGCCCATAACAAGAACGACGCAAATACCATTTGCGAACCATAGACCATCTTGCCCGCAGTACCTCCACATCCCCGCAATTTGCCCCTCTTCGTCTAGACCCCAGATCCTGGTGATTTTTGATGCAATTTCATCTCCACAAACATCGCTTATGAAGTCACGGTGATCGCCATAACTGTAGGCAAGTATGATTCTTGTTCGTGAAAGTGAAATATTATCATACCCCGTAGCAAACACTATGATATCTGCCTGCAGCTCGGTGCCATCAGCAAATCGAAGGCCGTTTTCGGTGAAGGACTCGATTGCGGAACCGCTCTTGATTTTGATATTCCCGTCGATGATAGATTGACTCGCTCCGGTGTCTGGAAGCTGTTGAGATATTTTCGTTGTGCATCAGAGGTACACGCACCGATGTAGTAACCACCACCGCGCTCTAGGTAAAGGGAATAAATACCCGCTCCATGTAAACCAAGATTGGTCTTGAAGCCAACCTTAGCCAATCCATCTAGAATTGCCCTGCGATCATGATTAATGCATCTGAAAGCGAGCTTTCGAATCATCCGACATACTTGTCTGTAGTCTCAGCGAACATGGGAACTATGCGTTGATTTAGCCGCCTAACAACAGCCCAAGGTAGTGAGGTATTATAAGTATCAGCCAGCTCGGTGGGGAAGTCGTCATTATAGACAGCTAGGTAAGGAAAGTCAAGTCAAGCTATTAACAATCACGGACACAATTACTGCCTGATAGTGCTTCCATTGACTTCACTGATATCACGAATGTCGACGATCGTTGATACCTAGTATTCCGTGAGATATGAAAATGACACCGCCAAAGGACAAACATTGTGATGTCTACGCCGTGACTGAAGAAATCTTGAGCAATGTCGTGCGCTGATAAAATATTTAAACCTCGTTCGATACAAAAGATATGACGAACCGACCAGAATTGCAACAACCGACTACGAGTGCTTTTTTACCGATATGATTAGCTGCAGATGTGAACTCTGACGAATGCACGGTAGACCCTTTGAAGCTTGCCTGGGTTCATGAGTTACGTTTCGATCAGTTAGAACGTTTCATACCTTTCCAGGGATGTCGGGAACTTTGGGGTGACCGCCAGATCCAGTGGCAAAAACGAGGTGCTTAACGGTTAGAACCTTAGTACCTTTACCACCCCGGTTGACCTCGACAGACCAGGTTTTTGTGATATCGTTCCAGGATGTCTTGGTGATCGTTGAGGCCGTCCAAACATCAAGCTCAAGGAAACTTGCATATCCTTCCAACCAGTCCGCTAGCTGCAATCACTAAAATCAGCGAGCGTTCATTATGTGGGTAACATTGTACTTTTCTAGCTGGGATGTAGACCGGCCATGTTGATGGAAAGCTGTAAAAGGCATCACGAAAGAATCAAAAGAGTTCTGACAAGCCACCCACTTCAGGTAAGGCGTTTGGTTAGACCCTGCAAGGTTGTTAGTCAATCCCTTTCTGTAGAAGAAAAACCACGAACAAATCGCGCCATGCAGACAAAGATTCTTGTAACGGTCTCTCCACTATGAGACTGCCCTTTAGTTATAGTTGGATACCAAAGTTGTAAGGGGACGAACGCTATCCCCGACCCGGGGCTTCTTATCGATGACAAGCGTGGGTACACCAATGTACTTTAATCGTGCAGCGGTCTCAAGGCCACTGTGCCCTGCACCGATGACGATCACCGTTGGGTCATTGCTTGAGAAGTCGGTCTCTTGGCGCCGCTTCTCTTCCCAAGTGCCATGATCGGCCTCTTTGTTTCTGAGGGGACCGATCTTCATCAGAGTGAGCAAGTGCTCATGAAAGAATGTGAATACACACCTTTTGAGGGAAATCGGTCAATGACTCAAGAGAGGTCAACAAAGTGTAAGCCTTCCACTTTGAATCTGGAAGGGGAACGAGATAAACGACCGCAGTACCCTTGCCATGCTTGGTGGTAAAACTAAAGCAAAACCGCAACCAAACAAGATCATTAAAAACTTTTTGCAGCACAGGTTCAGTCAAAGGTTTCTGTAAGAGACATAGATCGTTAAGACCGGTAGCAGCGAGACGAGCATCCAAGAGTTTCTTGATGTCTTTCCTTCCTTCGAATGTCCTGAAATCCCAAGTGAGTGCGATTACGTCCTTCCAGAAACCATCCTCAAGAAAGAGGTCGACAACAGCTGCGGTATCACTTTGAGTTATTGCAGTTGAGAAAGAGCTGAGCCACTCGGTGGCTACTTCAGATGAGGAGACATTGGAAGGATCGGCGACCCCCAGGCGATCGAGGGTGGGTAAGCGTTGAGGAAAGGGATCAGTCGCCATACTGAAAACTGAGATATGGGGATTGAGAGTGATAGATTGTTCAAACCATCCTGATTTTTAACTTTGACAGTTTTCCACCTATAACCCGCTCATAGATCAATCAATCGCCGATGGAGCACATCCGAAGCAACTTGGTGCCAGCATATTAGACCTTCTCCGAACCTTCCTAATAAGGTTGTCGACCTCCGAAGACCCCTGTTAGGATTTCGAGGACTGAACAATTCACCATTCGCGTCACTTGAACTAGCAGATACCCGTGGCGCCACTCAAAATTCAGAATTTGAAGTAAGTTTTCTAGACTTGGTGACAAAATGGGGCCAGCTGGCATGGAGCCTCATTTGTCTCTGACAGAGGTGTATACAAGATAGACGCGAAGGCGACAGTACAAACCATCGCGCCAGGCGAGATGTAGATGTGTGTCAAGGTAAGAATGGATGCTGGACGGGATAGGTAAAACAAAGTCAAACAAAGTCAAACAAAACGTCGTAACCTAACCAAGTCTTCATTTGTTTCAACAGTCAACTTGAAGTCTCCAAAGCTCAGCGGTATCATAGTATGTACTGCTGAGTCTTAGCTCCCACTGTCTTCTCTTCTCCTCGCTCGACTGGCCGCATCACCCAGGGGTCTGTACCGTCGTTGTGCCATCTGAGAAGCAGATGGACTATCATATGCGAAGACAGTGGCCCCGTGACAAAGCAAGTATAATCCAAGTGCAAACTGTTATCATGGTATTGTCTGCGAAAGGCAAGAGAGAATTTTATTGATTGCATGGTGATTATCTTTACAGAGCTATCTCCACCGAAGTGGTGTCGGGGATTGATACATAGAAGTCATTCTAGCTCGATTGAGTTGAACTCAATCTCCCTACAAAAGGAACGATGTGTCAAATACTGTGTGTTGGCTTTTTTGCCCATTCAGATATTCTTTTCACATACGATAACTGGCATAGAAACTTGATACGGTGAAGGATCTGAGCAAAGTCAGTGACAACACGTGCATGGCGCACTGTGGCTTGAGTACATCTGGAAGGAGACTTTAGTTCCGAGAAGAAAGGGGACACTGACTCACTCTTGCTACCCCCACTGCGGCCACGCCAGAGAGAGAGAGAGAGTCGGGCCAAAGGATCAAACTGTTCCACAGATCTACGCACACGAGAAGGAGAATAGAGGACCATTGTTTTATGGGTCTGTAGGCGATTCGGAATAAGTTGGGCATCTTCAGGCAGTAGCTGTGCCACACCAAGGACTTGAGCAGATGTAGTATCATATCACGAATATTAACGCTTACTGAAAAAGGTCGACTCTACCGCCCGTTCAAACTTTTCTACCCAGCCCTACAACATTACAAACACAATTTTGGCTTCTAGCTTAGCGACAAATGGCTCATCGAACTTGGCAAACACACTCACCTTCCTGAGCATCGTTTCGACCTCTACGATGAAGATTTCTGGATGAGAGGTACATCTGTGAGACTGTCAGCCTCGAAAGTCGATTGTTGAACACTGTTTTCAGCCAAAGACGAACGGCACGCCTCCTCAGTTTCTTGATGCCGATAGAGGTGCTTGTATCATCTGCGTGCGATGATATGATGATCGCGAGGTGGATTACTTGACGAATCTTTTGGGTAGATCGCCGCAGTGGTGGATCACTGATATCCATCCGCGTGATAATTTGGAGTGAACGAAGAAATATTTTGATATCGAACCGCTGCCATCGAATATCACATAACCACCACGCCGCCATTAAGTTGCCATACTCATGGTTTCCAGGAAGTCTGAAACGTTCACAGGTACTGCTAGTTCGTGCCGCACGTGTTGTGTCACGTGTCACTAGATAGTGAACTTTGCGAGTACGGCAGGTTAAAGTTAAACCCATGACCGATTTTTCACTGTCGGTGCACCATACTCACGTCTTTCATGTTTCATCTGCCAGTCGCCTGATCTTTGAGGTTCGCACGATGGTCAAAACCTTGAGAACATATCTGTCAAAAAAGCCGTGCGGTGTCTATTACATGCCCTGCTACAGTTTGCCAAGCACGTTTCGGACTCAACTTGAAAGTTGCTCGCCACTATCTGAGAGCGAATGCATGATAGCATGTGAGAATATCGGTTTACGCTGCTCCGTTCTGACGTTATTAAGTGACTGGTTCAAAATTAAGCCTTGAGACTCCAGATGCAGTCAAGATTGATGCCACCCATATAGTTCCCATTGCGGTATAGTGCGGACCGCCAGTCTTATCAGGAGCTAATATAAGCTATTGGCTCCAGTCATCATGATATTTCTTTCCTTTCGACTCAGCCTTTTCGTCCCCAAGTATCATCACCAAGCGAAAGCGATTAACTGATGGCAACCGTCACGAACTCCGTAGCTCACCCAACCTTGATTTCGGTACGTAACTGCATCCTGTTCACATACGAAAATTGACAATTGAGCACTGCACCCATAGGCTGATCCTTTTGTGTAGGTTTTTAGGTTGATATGTTCTCATCTTTAACTCATGATGTCGGTTGGCTGCAAGTCCCGCAAGAGAGCAGAAGGTTTGCTCCGTGATTCACCTTAGTTGTAGCATTCGTTAACATTTGTTTTAGAACCTGCACAACCGCTGGCAGTGAGTTAGTACGTTGTTCGTTCCGCAATCGATCCCATGACCCTGTTTCGCAGTCCCGATATTCCTGCCGTTGCCACAGTGAAGCCCGGACAGGTGTGTTACGATGCTTGGATGTCATATATACACTTGTCTGACGTTCGATTATCTGCACAGGTGTTCAACGTCGAATGTGTTGACTGGACAGGAGCACAAATCGGCAACAATGACAGTACGTATACGGGTTTTTGCCATCATAGGGATCTGCTTGGATACGACTGTTTTCGTCAGCGAGCGATGATATCAGAGATGTGGACCTGACCAGCGTTCATAATTTGTCCGGTCCAATCGCTGTGGAGGGCGCCGAGCCCGGAGACTGCCTTGTAGTTGATATCCTTGATGGTATGTCGTACCTAGTTGTTGCCTGTGTCTCTTTTTTAATTTGTTCATAGTCAGACCGTTTGACAAAATGCCCTGGGGTTACACCGTAAGGGCTCTCACAATTTTGGTAATCCAGTGCCTAAAGTGCAGCAGGGTATTTTCGAACTCGAAAATGGTGGCGGATTGTTTGGTGAGCGAACAGAACTGCCATATTTTGCATCTTTTTAATCAATATTCTACGTAGCTCGCGAATTTCAGAGCAGAGCTGCAAAAGCTATTTGGGACTTCAAAGGTTTGCATCTTTCTACGATACGTGCTCAACCTGATGACATGTCTCCAGGTGTCTATGCCACTTCAAGGCACATTCCTGGCGTACGCTTCGCTGGCGTGTCACATCCTGGTTTGATCGGTACAGCACCGTCCGCTGAGCTATTGGCAACTTGGAACAAGCGTGAAGGTGCCCTTATTGAAGCTCACGCCAATTCAGTTCCTCCCGTCGCCTATGGCCCATTGGTACCAGGTGCCTATGTCGGCCAAGACCTCCCTGATGATCTACGTGCGAAAATTTATCGCGAAGGCGCGCGGACGATTCCTGGAAGAGAGCATGGTGGTAATTGCGATGTAAGCTACCTTCAAATCAGCATTTATTATCTCAATTGTAGTAACTGTCTGCTTCATAGATTAAAAACTTGTCAAGGTAAAGAAAGCTGGCTACAGGCTTCCGTTGTTCCTGACATATTTTGGATCAAGGGGCTCGCGCTGCTATTTCCCTGTATTCGTGAAGGGCGCAAATTTGTCCGTTGGCGATCTCCATTTCTCTCAAGGAGACGTAAGTGTCTCAATCATGCAGTTCCGCTCATGCTAACATTCAAACAGGGCGAGGTAGGCTAGAATCTATCAGTGCGTAGGTGATCTGAACAAGCACTACTTAGCTGTCCTTCTGTGGCGCCATAGAGATGGTGTGGATTTTCTGCAATTTGGTCTACTCTCACTAATGTGGCTTCCAGGCTGGAATAGTCACCTTCAGCACTAGCATCATCAAGGGCGGCGTTGAGAAGTTTGCTATGAAACAACCCATCTTCCTGGTATGTGCTTGTCTCAGGTGGCCACTCGCTGGTGCTGACCGTCACAGCCCTCTCCCGTCGATCCGCTATACTCTGCAAAGGTACGTACATAGGCACATCGTCTGTTTAGTTGCTAATGTAATTTTCTAGTTGATCTTCCAGGGGATCAGCGTAGACTACCGTATGCATGAGCACATTGAATGTCACATCATTCATTATTGACGATAATAATTAACAGATGGCGATGGTACCCAGTACAACATGGATGCGTCAGTGTGCTTTCCCTTGATACACGATGCGTAGTTCATTAACACTCTACTTAGCACGGTGGCCTATAAACAGGCCGCTTTGAACGCCATCGCTTATCTTATGAAGATTGGTTACAGTAAGTCCCCTGTCGCAACATGAGCCATATACTGATCAACGAATGGCCGTAGCCCGTGAGCAAGCATGTAAGTCATGTGTACCGTGAGGGGGAGAAAAATGCTCAATGTCATTCAGACCTTCTGATGTCTGCTGCGCCGGTAGAAAGCCATATCGGTGCAATTGTGGTAAGTCAAATCCAATTTGAGTTTCCCGACAATTTTATTCACTTTTATCTTAGGACTCTCCAAATGCTTGTGTGACTCTCGCTCTGCCCTTGGGAATCTTCGAACATGTGAGTTCGTTGTGATACATCTAGCGGATTTGACTACATGATGTGTAACAGGACATCTTACCCAAGGATGAAGGTTTGAAGAAACTGGAATTTGGGCAATGTGCTGTGCGCAGTGATGGTGTACTGTAAAAGATGGCCAAGACTACGACGTCTGCATAAACCAGTCAACAACGATGTATTATAATTGATGTTGTGCATACGCAAGCATTTTGTACAGTACTGTACAGAGGAATTCTTACCCTCGCCCCGAAAGAACGACAATCTAATAAACGTATCGTATACCTTTCCCACTCTTCTTAGACTCAGATAGCAAGTCGCCGTAGATAGGCCGAACTATGGTTCTGTGAGACTAAGACCCTGAGGGGCGGTCACGCGCCACACTGCTTTCAACACCTGTGAACCAGGTTTCACGCTAAAGCACACCCACTCGAACAGTCCTTCATCCTTTCCTGCGCGGTCACCAGTGGTCGACCACCTCGCATAACACCCATCTCCTGCTCGTACCATTCCTGAGTAGATGTCAGCAAGGCCTTCGGGTTCTTGCAATCTGACTTTAACACGAGGGTCTGCAGAAATCGGCAGAGATGCGCGAACGATAACGTTGCTGATGGGGTCGTGGTGCGTGTTTTTGAGGGTGGTTGTGACAGTATGCGTTGTAATCGCCCTGTCGTTATGCACGGCGAACTCAGGTATTGAGTGGACAGTGCGGTTATACTGCGCAGTTATCGCGGGGTCAATACCAAGAGAGCATTGGATGGTTTGTGGCTGGTTGATACTCTGCTTCGATGTGCAAGGTAACGGGTTCCGAAAACTGAACATAAGAAACAACGTACCGTAATGTCACTGTCAGAAACGTGACTTCCATCCAAGTAAGTGTGAATAGTGCCCGGAGTCAGTATATAGTTGCTTGTGTTCGAAATCTCGGCCTAGAATGATAGATATGAGGCAAATATGATGACATAAACGAGACGCCACCCACAGTCCAAAAGACGCGAGAGTTCACGCTCGGTACTGCAACTCTAGTAAATAATGCTTCTAGTGGGATGGTTGCTATAAGAATGTGATGGGTGCCCCCCTCTACACGGCTTGGAATGAATACATTTGTGGTCGTTGTATGGGTCACGGCTTTGTCAAGCTACGAAAAGATCATTGTCGCATTTGCTAGTAATAGGAAACGATCATGACGTACCTCTGCTAACACTGCGCTGTCTCTTTGGTGCTGTGACGATGATGGCTGCGCGGAAGCGGACAAAGAAGTCAATGACTGAGACTGCTGCAAGTTTGGTCTTGATTGGTTGAAGGCAATGGTGTCCTCTGTGGCATTACTCCCGCCATAACCCGACACACTCGGGTTCCGCGTAGTGGATTCTGATGGTGGAATAATCGTTGAGGAATATGCCTGTGATTGTGGTGGAGGAAATCCGAAAGGTTGACCTGCCAGTGCACTTGATTGCGCTGGAGTAAATGCAAAGAGACTTTGGGTTGTGGCAGTAGGTTGTCCCTGTGAAACTTTGAACACGTTGTCTGCTGTAGGTCCCTGTGCAGCCCCAGCTTGGTGAGAGGCACTCTGAATGCTTCCAAATATGGATTGCCTGTCTTTCTGTGTTGAGGACAAAATATCTGCAAAAGGTGAAGCATATTCTGTGGTATTCCATAATGGTAAAATTCGGGGCCTGCCTGCCGGTTGGTCAGGCTGCAAAAAGGACCCTTGTTGTTTTAACTCCGTCTTCTTGAGTTCAGGGACTCCTACTAAAGGAACAAAGGGCTTTTCTGTTGTCACCGCAAGCTCCACATTGTCCCAATTCTCCCCGGTACACTGAGAAATTTGACATCGATAAGTCAGAACGACTGATGAAGAAGGGACACCGTCAATGGTCGTAACATGCAGTTCGTATACAGGCTTCCAGGTAGCGCTGACCCCTGGTGAAGACTCAGTGATAGATGACGGCTTAATGGTAAGAGAACTCACTGTACTTCAGTTCCAGCTCAGCGACCGTGGCGGTGCGGCCAGAAACTGGTGCAAGAACAACAGTGGCTTTAGTCGACAAGTACCAGGATTCGAGATGAAGTCGCTGGATTCCTTCGTCTATCTCCTTCTTAACGTCCTTGATCTGCTGGTCAAGTACCGCGATGACTTCAGATCGACTCTTGCCAATGTCTATGAACTCATCAAAGAATGCGACGAGTTGTGCAGGTTCTGCTACACCTGCCAAAGCATCTCCTTTGGCAACGGAGTTCATGTACGTCGACAGGAAGACAAAGCTTTGTTGCCGTAGTTGACGCTCGTCCTCTAAGCGCGTCAACTCGGCCCGCAGATCTCGAAGGACATCACTAGTAGTCTCAGGCCGATAGCCAAACAGGTTGGGTTTATATTCTGACGGGCTGTGGTAGTAATCCATGACTAGAAAATCATCTGAACCAATGGTCACAGATGCCCGAATTCCACTCTGCCAATAGAGGAGGGGAAGGTTTGAAATCTCGATGGCTAGCGATTCATTCTAATTATGATTTAGTAGTAAGTGACTGAGTCTTATAAGCCGCTAAAGTCGATCACTATGCACGTACTAGAGGCTGGTTAAAGTTGAGGGGGAGAATGCGAGTGACTTCAGCTACGTCGGAGCTGAATATCTTCACGGACTTGACGGGAAAGTCAGTTGCAGAGAGCTTGATCACATTCATCCTGAGTAAAAGCGCAGAGCAGGAAAGGTGCAGTACATGTGCAAGTCTTGAGCAAGCTGCAAGTCAGGTGACAGGTCGTGACTACACTGTGCCTTTCAAACATGGCGGAACCGTCGATGGGCAGTTGCTGTGCAGGTCGAGACCCATGGGTAATATATCAGGTAACCGGAGAACACGACTCAGTCGGGCCATTCTGCCGATGGCAATTGCCGGCAGTACCTAGCACCTTCATTAAGATTTTGAATTTATCTTCTCAACGTCTTCGGGTATTTCAGCTCCCCTGAATCCTCACCCTCAATTCTCACCCAGGTCCCATACCCACACCTTACCCACTATGACATTACACGCTAACTTTCCCATCAAGCCCATCTTTTTCTGCCAGGAACTCGACAAATTGTAATGAACGAGGCTACGTATCACACTCCAGAGTCCAAGTGTAAGTGCTCTTCTCGTCAGTTCCCCGAATTGCTTGCTAATGATATTACGCAGTTGTTCGAATGGATATACGATGCACCGTTCAGGCTGTCGGATACCCCATCAAGCAGATAGACGGCTGAGCCATCTATTGTGCAGCATATTGGCATTTTTGCCTTCCAGATCCTTTCTCCGCTCGACTTGTCCTCGGCAGCTGATCCAGGCCAATATCGCGAGCCAATAAAATGTACCTCGGAAAAATATTCGTCATCACCCCAAGTCTGGAGCCAATTGAGTTCATTGTTGAACCTTTTCAACGAATACTATGGCTGCCTAATCGGGATGACTTTATTGTCAAGCCCCACCAGGAGTTGTCCTACCCATCGGAACGGTCGCGGCTCACCTGATGTAGTCCCACATGTATCCGCTATTGCTAGCTTGCTTATTGTTTACGTGTCAATGCAGTCTCTGGGACAGCGGACTTGGTTCCTGTGGCCGGTAAGTCTCAGTCTGAAAGTCAATTTTGATGACAATTGGGTAGAAACATTCTCGCCCGCCGAGTCATGGTAGAAATGTATATAAGTCTCCCGAAATTACGACTTCTAACAGCTCAACCAACTTTTGCCTCTCGTCCATCAGCAGTTCATCCAACTGCTCTCTTTACCTTCTACTCGTAAAAGTCACACCCTCGTCCTTTTTACATCCCAAAAGTGCAATGGACTCATTTTCAGACATCCTCGCTATGTTGTCCGCTTCAAAGACCGATGACGATAAGAGCAGTTCTGCATCGTCGACACCAGTAGAGGAGGAGTCTCAATCAAGCTCTGGCGGTTGTTACTGTGTCATCGCATGAACGTGATGCATACCGTCTCATTCAAATACAAACGTAAGTGAAGACGTGTATTAATTTGTAGAACGTTGGCTCACCGTCGTTGTTTGCAGCTCCAGACACTGCCCCTTGATAACTAGGACAGTGCCAGACTCTGTAGTGTTTAAACTACAGCAGAGTTTATTGGGCGACACTCTTCAGTTTACTTATTACAAACACTTCGTTTAGCATGTTTCGACATTTTGTTCATTATTTTTATCCTATTATTCGCTGGGTTCTTCGGAATTGTTTTGGTATCTGAGATACAGGTACAAGAGATACATTTGAAATTATTGGATATTCTGGTGAACGCACATTTATCTGTAGCACTGGGGAATGAACGATATGTTTACAGCTGATTCCGAAACTATGCGGAATCGCAAAATCAAAACTTGATCGTCGGAAACGGCCGAACAAGGAAGCATATGACTGCGAGATTTGCGCTGCGCAGTGTCTGTGTCATTCAATGCCGCCACGCACTGTTTCGAACGATCTAAAGGCTCGAATCCCTGTTCTCCATCGACGTGGGCACTCCATTAAACATATATGCCATCTCCTTGGAGTAAAAAAGACTCTTGTGTACAAGGTTTTACAGCTCTGTCCCTTGACTTGGAGTTTACAGCACTCTGGTATCCACAGCAAGCATGCAGGCTGGCGTCGCACTCTCACCATTGATGACATTGCCTTCATCACTGCCATTCTTCGTCACCACCCTACTATTTATCTCGATGAGCTACAGCATGAATTGCACTCTCGCCGTGGTGTGCTTGTGTCTCTGCAAACATTTCTTCACACATTTTCGCAGTTACATTTCAAGCGCAAACACATTTCTGCTTATGCTCTCGAATGGAACGAAGAAAAACGTACTATTTTTATGAAATGATCACTCACCCACGAGAATTGCCAAGGGGGTACTTGAAAGTGTATTTCTTCTTCTCAGTGATCCTATAGTGTGATTAGTGTTGTGCAAAGCCCGGCCTGAAGCCCTAGGCCGAGCTGAGCTGAGCCTTGTTGGGCCTGGCCGAGCTGGGCTTTGGAGTAGGGCCTATGAGGGCTTCAGGCTAGGGATTAGCATGGGTATATGAAACCCACATGGGTTGTGGGTGTGGGTATGTTGTGGGTGTGGGTTTAGTAAGCAGATATATATTTTACCAACTCCAAAGCTCCAAAGACATACAAATAGTATTGCAAACTCTAACTCTAAACTCTAAATCACGAACACATCCTACTGTCATGCAGCGAAACCCCTTCCATTCTTCCACTAAACGGATTACCAAACTAACTGGGAAAGCCAAGGCTGCACTTGACGAGAAGCTCGAGGCCAAATCAAAAAAGAGAAAGAATGATGACAGTGCCAGTGTGGACAGCACACGGCCAAAGAAGGTAAAAGCAACCTACTCATTTCAAATGATTTCTAACATTGATCACAGCTACTTCAGTGGATGTTGAACGGCTCTTCAGCCGTGGCCGCCTTGTCCTGTCACATGTCCGTTCTCGCTTAAATGTGCAGTCCACTCGCGCCCTCTTGTGCTTGAGTTACTGGAGCTGGCTGGGTCTGGTGAAGAATGAAGACATTTTAGCTGTTAGCAACCTCGCGGATGTTGTAGGTGACGAGGAGCTAGAACTTGAGGAAGGATGGTACCAAATACAGTTAGGGTAGCTACAATTGCTGTTTTTGTAGTACTAATTCAATGACACCCCCGGGTATACCCTCCATGGGTATGGGTATGGGTGTCTATCTTCGGTACCCACATGAAAACCCACACCCCTGGTATGGGTGTGGGTATATTGGTGGGTGTGGGTGCGGGTGTCAATGCATATACCTCGGGGTATACCCATGCTAATCCCTACTTCAGGCCTGGCTCATTGTCTGCACAGGCCTGGGCCTGGCCCTTGAGCTGCGGCTTGCAGACCTGTCAATCAACACAACTGTCACGGAATTCCGCGCACTTCTGTACAGTATTAATTGCACCTTTCAAACTCTAAGCTTAGATTGAATATGCCAGCAGGACCGGGGAATATTTTCACCCAAACACTGCACGATGATTCCATGTGTTGACTCTCCCATCAGCGACTCTGAAAGTGAACAGGCACCTCCCACACGTCCTAAATGAGCAGGTACACCGACTGCTAAGGTCGTCAGTGCTGATAACACGGCTGATTTAGAGTTATCGTCACATTGAAGGGCTCACGAGGCTGCTAAAGCATCACTTCCCACTGCGCCTGCCACAAAACCTACCAAACGCAAAGCTCCAGCTCCCATTCCACAAGAGGAGTGTTCCGTCCCTGCTAGACCAGCAAAAAAACATGTCCATGAGCATGTTGATGATCCACCTGCAGATGCTGTCGATGCAGATGGATTTCTCGAAGATGTCCAAGTTCTTGACATCGACGAACCATCAAAACCACATCGCGAGCAGCGGAGTTGAGACATCGATGCTCTCTTCTTGACCCCTTATGCCAAGGATGGCAAGAAAGTGCGTGATTGTAACATGTGCACGTAAGTAAATCTCCCTCTCACTCTCACAGAATGTGAATTGATTATTGTATCAGCAAAACTCATAATGCTGAGAATGGACATGTCCCTGTCTCCAATGCTTGACAACTCCTCCTCGATATGAAAGTTTGGTGGTCATCCACCTTTGTAATGCTTTGTCGAGCTTATGAGCTTCGAGAGGTATGTTTGTTCATAGTGAGCTCTTTGTTTTTTGTCACTCACTATTCTTTTTAGGATGTGAATTATTTTGTCGGTCGGATATCTTTACAAGAACGAGACCTTACTTGATGAAGAAAACTTGCTGAGCTGGAACTCTCAGATGATGAATGGTCTTGTGTGCAGAAGCTGTTGTCAATCCTCAGTGTAAGTTTGATTTTATATTACTAGAACTCGTTCAGTACTCATACTCTTGTGGATTAGTTTGAGGAATTGGCACAGCACTCGTTTTCAACAGATCAGGGACCCACACTACACCTTGCACTCCCCACACTCGAAGGACTACACGCTGCTTGGTCCTATGTTCTGGATGGGTCAAATACATTGATTTTCACAAAGGTTTGGATGCTGGCCTTGAGAAAATTTCGGAATACTACACAAAGGCTGCCCACTCAGATGCTCATATCATGGCCATGTTTATGTGCTCTCGTTTTAGTTGTATGTATACTAAACATTGGATGAAACATAGTACTTGACCCTACTCAAAAAGCAGCCCACATTTGACGCTACTGGGGTGAAGAACTGCTTTGCGGAGCTCTTGAGAATGCTGAACAGATGGTATGTCTCTTCTCACTGCCTACCAACTGTGCCATTTGCTGACATGATGCATTAGTATGAAGAGCGCTACACGCAGATGTACGGAAACTGGTGCTGAGCAGTTACCAACATCTGCCGAGCTTCGCACCACCACTGGCAACCGCAAACTAGATGCCTTATTGGGCGAGCTTTCCGATGGCGAGGATGAGGGATCTGAAGAATCTTTTTGGCCTGTTCCCTCGGCAGTCTCATGGACACCTTCAGTCTCTCTTTTGGACCCTGCGGACCCATCAAAACCCTGGCAGAATGATTTTCATGCCTACCTAAACTCCAAGGATCATCTCGGAGACTTGACGGTTACCCAGTGGTGGGGTATCAATGCTCCATGCTACCCAGTTTGGGCCTCGCTCACACGAGACTTCCTCTCGATCATGGCAACATCTGTATTGAGTGAGAGGGCTTTTTCATCAGCAGGTATCACAATCAGTAAGCAGAGGAACCGTCTGGAGGCTGACATCGTTGAAGCCCTTCAATGTCTCAAATGTATGTTCAAACAAGGTCTGCTATTTCGCAAAGACCCTTCAATCATGACCGAGTTGGAGGATGAACTTAACAGCCCTCAGAAAGCTGATGGCAAATCAGGTGAACCCTGGGATACATTAGTTGAGGACTTGGATGCTGAAGATGAGTGCAGGGATTCTGGAGATGACGATGAGATTTTTGTACAAATGTTAGACATACTCTAGTGCAAATGAATACAAAGCCCTGGCCTGAGCCTAGCCTGAGCCATCAAGGAGGGCCCGGCCTGCAATCTGAGTAGGCCTGAGCCCTGGTAAGCCGAGCCCAAGCCCCAGCTTTTGGGCTGAGCCAGGCCTTGCACAACACTAAGTGTGATTTGTCGTGCTTCATGAGAATTGTTGTCAGAAATTTGATGTAGTTGGACTCAGAGACTTGAAAGACCAGTTCCTTGACTTTCGTAGATTTCACTTCCTTGGTTTTTGCTTTGCCATTATTTTCAGTAGTAGTCTTGGTGTATGTATCAAGGTAAATAATGAATGTTGCCGTGAATCCAGGTGTCTCTGGGGAGGAATCTGATGGTGATGACATCATCTTTCAGTGAATTGCATATACTACACTAGCGCTACTACAACTCTCGCGGTCATGTGCTTACGGGGTCCTTGTTTGGCCGTTTCTGATACTCAAGTATTGATTTTGCGATTCCGCATAGTCACCTTGCTTGCAAGGTCATATGGTATGCGACGAAATATGATGGGGTATGTGCCAATAATAAACAATGATAAATATCAATAAATTATTAGAGTGGCTGAGAGATGCATATTGCGAGGTGCAGATAAACATTACTCAGACAGACGTGTTCTTCGATTCAGAATACAAGACAAAATGATATGTGAGTGCTATACATATCAATTTGTTATTACACATTTAATGTATAATTAGTAATAACTCAAAAAGAAGACATTGCTACTATGATCCTAGCGATGTTGCCAATAGCAGATGTCATTGCAATGACATGTACCTGCCGTGCTATGCGTGGAATTGGTCAACACGTGATATATAGACGTTTCAGATGCATAGTAGTGCCCTTCACTAATGGAGCATTTGACTCTTTCGTCCAAACTCTTCGTCAATCTGCAAGCATAGTCACTGGTTCAGCAGCACGTGCGATGATTTCTGGAGATATACATCAAGAGATGCGAGACTTTAACATTGTTGTACTGCATTTATACTTCAATGTCTTGCATGATTTTTTGATGAAGATCCTGGATTATACTTGCATCTCTGAGTCTTGCCACCCAGCAATGGTTCATGTCATCGACCATTTTGGCAAATACAAACACCATTGTCGTTTCATTACCCTTGCTTGTCCTAAAAAAGACACACACATTCTACATGTTATTCTCAACACACCTTTGACCACGGATATGGTATACATGACGACTGGAGGCATTACATGCTTTTACCCGCAATGGATGCGACAAAACATCTCGATACATAGTCATACCAGTGACTTAGTGTCATGGTACCATAAATTGGGTTGTGCAGGCGAGTTTCATGATCAGTTGAGGGTGGAAAAAGATACAGATTTTATTTGCAGCAGCTGTGGAAATCGCTGTCCCACTTTGTGGCATCACTTAGACAACAAACGTCTCCGAGAGTCTGTTGATTGGGATATCACAGACTCAGTGACGTGTACTTTCCACAACGTCGATATTGAATGGTGTTTAAACATGTATTGTACCAACAATGCATGTCGTTTCAACATCCATACAATGAAAAGTAATTTAAATGTTGAAGGATCTGTTAATTGTATGTATTGTAACTATTTAGAGTATCAAACACTGAAACATGTGCATATATAGGCTCCAACATGAAGTATATACCCAAAGGAATTCGCTGTCGCAAGCCAGTAAGCATGGCATTGATGACTATGTATTATCAATTTAATACTATATAACATAGAAATTCAGATTCATTTACAAGGCAGCTTTTTACGGTGTCGCATGCTATAGGCCTTTCCTCGTACCTGTTCCTGTCATTGATGGAGTAAAAACCAAACCGACTCTTAATGACTTATATGTCAATTACTGGGTCAAACAACGAGATACAAATGCCCTGACTTGTACCCGACAACATATGTGCCATACTTTTGACAGTATACCAAACTGCAAAATGGTGATTCATGCGCTGTATACTGTATTTTTTGACAATCCAGTAAATCACTTTACAACCAATCATCTATTGGAACATATGGTGTGTATGACAGGAACATCAACAACAGTGAAAGGAAGTTTATTAGTGGTGAAACAGAATTTACTTCCAGATACACCCATTGTGGATATGAACAAAGATGATATGTTAATTGCTAATATGATCATCAGTAGGTGAGCAAATACTACTAACTCCATACCAAAATTAAAAGCACTAAATCATTAAACAGCGCATTGCACTTTGGCAATCTTTAAAATATCAGCAGAGTTTGCAGGTAAAACAGTAGACGTACAATGGAAGAATCTGCATAACAGTTGTTCGGTGTAGGGCTGTATCATTGCACGGAAAAAAGATGACTGGCAGAGCGAGTAAGTCGAATCAGTAGTGCTTTGTATTGACAAAAAAGTTCTGAGTGCACTCCACTGCTGCAATTCCCGACTCCCATGGTAGTGGAGGAGGGTTTTGTCTGCAACAAACATGCCGTTCTCTACCAAATCGTGCGTGGGAAATCTCCGTCCATGACGGGTTTGAATCATAGTATCATAATTCAACACTGACCTCTATACTTGTGGTCTGTAAAGTCAAACAATGTTCACAATTCAAATGTACAACCACATGCGTGTTTCTTCATTGCAGAACACACCGGCCAGGAACAGGCCATTTGGCATGCCGTGTGGGAACAGCACACCCCAAAAGGGCCAGAATGAGTACTTTGCGATGTGGTGCACGACCTGAATGAAGAACAGGATGACATTGGCCATTCAAAATTTAAAGGCAAGGAGGGTAGCGATGTGTGGGAAGAATGAAATAGGAAAGGGATTGAGCCAGCGGAGTTGGGAACTGGCACGTGAGCGGCGCTACAATTATGTAAATGACGTGCACTGTGTAAATCATGTGGATTGACATCATTGGAGCCCTTTATCAAAAATGTCACTGTTGCTGATGTCGTATGCTCGTACATATCGCTTTGCTTAACTTAACTCTATTAACGAACATGTCTCAGCAACTTAATTCCTCGCTCAAAACATTGACAAAAAAAGAGATAATAACTGCAATAGGTGCTCAAAATCTAAATTGAGTTGAAAAGTGAAAATGAAGTGACTTGGAAGCTTATGTGCAAAACTCTGTGGATACGCATTCTAGCATCATCTCTGTGGGACAAGCTAAAACAGAGCTTATTGAAGATTGCTCTCTTCCATCTTCTACGACACTCGAAACTGCACTGAACCAGCTCACTGTCAAGGAAATATCATTGACTCTCCGTGAATTCAAACTTACAAGAGCTGATAAACGAAATTGAAACAGTTTATTAGCATGTATTCGACATTCAGCAGTTCTGCAATGCGCAGTGCTGTCAGCAGTAGATGCTAAAGCCGTGCGACTAGAGGCTCATGAAGAAAATCAACTGAAAAAAGTATGTTTGCAGCAAAGCCGAGACATATCTGTTGAATCATCATTCCTGGAGGAGGTGGAAGACTCAGTGCGAAATAAATGCTTAACAAGTTTCATTGATCGTACAGGACATGATGCTTGTCGATCGACTATATGTGTCGCTTGCGCAGGGGAATTCTTAATGTGTGAGACAAAAGAACTTTCTTTACTTTCCATTCAGTACAAAAATGTGCTGAAGCTGTACCTGCATCACCACAGTCAATGTCTCATATATGGAATGTTGCTGTATAATCCTGCTATCACCACTAAAAACGATGATCAATACGGCTTCTTTTGCAACAAGTGCTTTGACGACATCAAATCAAATAAAACTCCCGCTCTATCTCTTGCCAATAATCTCTGGGTCGGCGAAATTCCAGATGAACTTGCGATGCTCACTCTTCCTGAACGCATTTTGATTGCATTATCATATCTTGCTGCATATATCATCAAACTTTTCCCAAAGAAACGCGGTGCTGTTCACTGGGATACAGCTGGTTTGAACAGTGGTTTACATGGGAATGTATCGACATATCAACTCAATATATCTGCTATTTCAGCTATGGTGGAAGGAAAATTACTTCCTCCCAAACCCGCCATACTAGAAGCCATAATCGGTGTTTCCATTGTAGGACCTAACAATTTCCCTGAACATTGCTTACCTGCTTTTCTTACTGTGAGCTGCCGTCATCTACGGAATGCACTGCTCTTCCTTAAACGAGAAAATCCATTGTATAACAACATCGCAATATCTGAAGATAACATCGCATTGTTTCCAGAACATGGCATTCCAGATGTCATTACTGCATCAGTTCGTCATCTCAATGATGTCAGAGCAGCTGATAGTGAGCGAGAAGACTATGTACCTGAAGATGATTCTGAAGACATATTTTGTGGTATGTCTTTCCCTCATAAAAATTATATGTTCATTTAAATAACAACTATTATCAGAACAGAACAAAGCTTTTCCAATGGGCCAACATGCTGTAGAAGACAATATTGTTAGTGATACAGGTCAGCTCTAATTTATTAAGATAAAAACTATTAAATACTAATCAATACAGTGCTGTCTAACATTTTTCCTGTTCAATCTCACGGTGTACTCGACAGCAGTGTATTTGACGTTGATGATGAGCAGTTACTGGCACATGCGCTGTCTAATATTTCTGAGCAATATCGTATACAACACGGAACCTCCTTTGTTAATGAATATCCTCGATGAAATACTGATCAAACACTCAGTATTGGAGATTCTAACAATCCAAATCATTTACTTGGATCCTTTCCATGCTTATTTCCTTACGCTGCTGGAGGCTTCGAAGTACAAAGACCACATCCACTGTCATATGAAACTCACGCTCAGTGGGCAATGCACTACGCAGATCGTCGCTACCGCAAGGATTTACACTTTATGTTTCAAGTATTTGGTGTCATACAGAAATGCCAAGTGTGTAGACATGCCGTATTACAGGTAAATACTATTATCTTTACAGTTGCTGATCTTAATCTGAACTGAAACATACCGGCATAAGGTTAAGAAAGAAGATTTTCAGAAAAACAAACATCTCTTTCATTCCCTTACAGCTCAGGATCTACAAAAAATTAGTCAAGAACAACAACAACGTCAACTATGTTCCAACACTACCATATGAACTCTCAAGAAGCATTTAACTGCTGTGCGATCTAAAGTGATGGGTACGGATGAGTCACAAACCAAAATTTGTTCGTTGATTTGGGGAATGTCTGTGATGAAGAATCCGCCTTCATTATGGATAACTATCAATCCAACGGATATGCATGACCCAATAGCTCAACTTTTTACCGGTGCAGACATTGATCTTGACTGTTTCCAGCATCTAGCAGGTCCTGACTCATATACACGATCCATTAGAATCGCAGATGATCCATATGCAGCAGTGAAATTTTTCCACTTCATTATAACTGCGATCTTAGAAGAACTATTTGGTATACGAGCAAATCATGCCAAAACTGGAATTATTCGACAACCTGGCATTTTTGGAACAGTTGAAGCCTACTGTCACGAGTACCTTTAACAAATCATTATTCTTTCCTAAATCTTCCTAAGCGCCAATACACAGCGCCTAAGTCAAACCCTAACCCTACCCTGAAAGCGTCTATCATTCCTGAAATACCTTTAGCGCCCACGACACGTGTCTTTGATGTGACAGATGAAGAAGACGAGTTCTTTGATTGTGAATAGATTAGATTAGATATGATAAGATAAGATATGGTCACGTGATACTTCTTTAATATTCTACGATGTTCTATGGTACAATTCCCTTTCCTATTTTATGATTGGCTAGTAGTTACAACTCAGTTTCAATCTCCGTCTCAATAGTTGTATATAGGTAGCATGTCTTGGTCGATAGTTCTTTAGTTCAAACCTCTTGTATCTACATTGTAGCAATCCAAGACGTACTTGCTCCTCTCTCTATTGTCTGATAACCTTAGTCAAGTCCTAGTCTCTGCCCAAGCGTTAATTCGTTATTTGGGTTGTGACACCTACATAGGAACTGTCGAAGCTCAAGGACACGGTACTCTGCACTTACACATTCTACTCTAGATAGCAAACACACCAACTGCAACTGAGATGAAGAACCTACTCAAAACAGAAGCATTTCATTCTAAAATCGCTTCTTTTATTGCCCATAATTTTTGCGGATATCATCCAGATGTCACAGCGGACAGAATGAAAAACTTTCCACATGAAACAGCTGTATCCTATTCCCGTCCCCCAGATCCAAGATCACCAAATTTTGTAGTGAATAAACAACAATGCATTCGAAGTTTAGTTTGTGCTGTTCAAATTCACACCTGTTCTGTTGGCTATCTCAAAGTTGTGCAGGGCCGCATAATATGCAAGTGACATGCTCCTTTCCCAACAGCAGATACAGCCTGGATTGACTCTGAAGGTAGATGGGGACCAAAAAGAACATTTGTGATGATGAATAACTGGAACCCCACAATTCTACTCGCAACTCGAGCAAATCACAATATCAAGCTCATTACAAATGGAGAGGAAACGAAAGATATCGGTTTCTACATCTCAATGTACACCACAAAGAACCAACAACATTCATCTAACACATGTGCATTACTTGCAAAATCATTTGCTTTCCAACAAACTCGAGATCAATGCCATTCAGATATTCGAGAGCTTAACAAACATTTGATCCAGCGCTGCACTAATTCACTCAGTCGAGAACAGGAATTTAGCGCGCCAGAAGTCGTCAGCTATTTGATGAAATGGGAAGATCACTATATATCACATCACTTCGAAACCATTTATTTTTCTTCTGTGATTAATCTTCTGAAAAAAGCATGGCCACAATTAAGCTCCGAAAGGTATGGCGTTGACATTTCTTTCAATCAATTATGATAATGAATCGCATACAGTCACGTAGCGGAATTTTCAAGTACAGGAGAACTACATCATTGGCTTGACTTGACAGAAGCTTTTGATGCACGTAGATTTCTGCAGTGTAATCAAATATTATCTGACTAATATTCCTAGACGGAATATGCTGTATTACATTTTGAGGAAGAAACACAATCATTACAACTGCACGATCAAATTCGAGAATATATCGATCAAGGAGACACCCTTGAACATTTCAGTTACCTCGATTTCTTCCTCAATACTTATGAAGCATCGTTTATCAAGAACAACCAAAATAGTTCTCTACACTGGAAGACTCACATTTGAATTCCATACAGAGCTTCATTGACACAAAGCCGGTACTGCCATGTGTTGCACAACAAAAAACATGAGACAATGCCATACTTTCCTGGTCCTTGGCTTCCTCGCAGAAACGATAAACAAAGCTATCCCTTATATTGCGCTGCCATGCTAGCATTGCTGTATCCATGGAGATCATTAGCAGACCTCAAACCAAGCCATCTTACATTTGAGCAGGCTTTCAATAACTTTGCGGGTGCAGTGTCTACGCAAGTACTGAATATAATTGAAAATATTCAGTACTTTTACGAATGTTCAGACCAAGCATGAGAAAGACAAGTTAACCAAGTGTTTGATTCTGCATGGAGAATAGCTAATGTGGAGACTACCCAGAATGAAGAAGACAACACTGAAGAAATGACAATTGAGTTGCAAGAAGAATACATAGATGACAAAAATTCAGGTGAAGTCATCGCTGAATCTGATATCAAAAATGCTCTGGAAGATTGTCATTCTACTCGAGAAATGCTATACGCTGATGTAGCAATCAATATTGCAGAAGACTTTGCAATATTTGGAGACAATGTAGTCCAAACCATTCATTGCGCACCAAGGAGCAAAGCTACAGACGAAGACATGGAAAGGTGTATACAGTGGCGAGAGATAATAAAGCATGGCAACAGAGATAATTCAATGCTGATTTGAAACGAGAAAGGTATTCGCAACATCGGCACGGTTACAACAAATCTACAACGTCAATCTTCAAACAATATTTTCACATCTGTGGAGCTCCAGACTGATGCCAATCCTTCAAATGCCGTGGCAACTATACAGCACAACAGTTTGAATCTTAACCATGAACAGCTCATCACTTATACTATTGTTCGCAATGCATTACATGCATATCTCGCTGGACAACAACACAAGCAATTGCTTATGTTAATCATTGGAGAAGGAGGTACTGGAAAAACCATGCTATTGGACACCATCATGCGGTTATTCGCTGCTCACAGTTATGAATCGAAACTGGCACTTACTGCAATGTCCGGTGTTGCTGCATGCATTATAAAAGGTTCAACTTTGCATTCCTGGGCTGGTCTTCCCCCACGACAAATGCCTCGTTCTGACAAATGGGCTACTTATCCTCGACCTGACATGGCATTAAGACGGCATCAAAATATGGACGATACATTTCTACTCACAGTCGATGAAGGAAGCATGTTGACTACCAAACAACTGACATTATTATTGCAGGTAAGTTATATCTTTAAATAATAGTCTATTATACATAGAAAAGTTATACACTATCATAGGTTCTCAGCATTGTTAGATCTAAAGAAGAAATAGACCCCACAATGCCTTTCGGAGCGATGAATATAATAATTGTTGCAGACTTCCATCAATTTGCACCCATCGGCAACAGTAAGAAGGCGCTATTTGCAAGTCAACCTCCCAATCAAAAATGTGAAATAGGACACCATCTATTTGAACAGTTTCAAACTGTTATCAAACTTCAGCAACAACTTCGTGTTACAGATCACGAATGGAACAATATTCTGCTTCGTGCTCGTGACAGAGAATGCACTGCACAAGATCTATGAGACATACGTAGTCTCGTCATCACGGATGATACATGCAAAGTTCCAGACTTTAACTTACCACCATGGAATAACGCAGTACTCATCACACCTCGAAACAGTATACGAACACGATGGAATATGCTCTCTATCAACAAGCATTGCAAATACAGCAGTCATCTACTATATATTGCACCCGCAGAAGATTCAACAAAAAACATGCCTCTTTCTATGAAACAGCGACTTGCAACCACTAAATTGTCACTTGATCAAACTCAACACCTGCCAGCAGAAGTTCAACTCTGCATAGGAATGAAGGTGATGATAACCGAAAATGTAGCTCCGCAAGCAAACATTGCCAATGGCACGCGCGGAACGATAGTCAACATCTTATTGGACCCTCAAGAACAACCAAGTAATCATGTCGTTACGGACGGAAAAATTTACTTACAGTACCCACCCTCCATTGTAATCATTTGTCTCACTTTCGCTCAAATCCGACAACTTCCTGGTCTTCAGGAATACAAAATTCCCCTCGAACCCTGTGTACACCATTTCTCAATCAATTCTAAACCGTGATATACAGTGACATGACGACAATTGCCTTTGACTCCAGGATATGCATTCACAGACATTAAATCACAAGGACAAACCATCGACTACGTTATCGTGGAGATAGGCAAAACCACATCTTTTGGCTTAAATCCAACTAATGCATATGTTGCGCTATCTTGAAGCAGGGGAAAAG